AATTAAAAACGCTCTTTGAAAAAATTTAGAATTTTTTCTATTTTTTTTATCATTCTATCATAATTTTTGGGAATTTCTACATGATGTACCACTCAATTGACAATTGGGGATTACGAAAGGTGAAAAAAATCCAGATAACATTCGAAAGATAGTACACCCGGGCCTTAACTTGAATTTTGGTTTTCACACATAATACAATGACGAAAAAAAATATGAGTTTTTCCAATTTTTTGCTCAGAATTGGTAGAGGCAATCGTATTTTAGTATTATGCAAATTGCAGGCCATGACCCACTGATAATCTACCATTTTTTTTTCAATTTCTTGATCGTTCATTTTCCAAAACTACCATATAAAGGATAAAAAAAACTTTTCAATTTAGTAGCGAAGTGGTAAAACGGTTTAAGTCGATTTATTTTCCAGATGAGTTTTTGAGGAATATTTCCGAATCTAAAGGAGATAGCGAAATTTTCGTAATTACATTTGTTGTAGCACTCAATCGGCTCCACAAGAAAGGTTATAACAAAAAATTTGTTATCTCCCTTCGATTCCGAGATGATTGAAAACTGGTCAACAGTCAAAATTGACATACCGTTTTACCACTTCACTACTGAATTGTAATTCATCAGGGTATCGAAAAAAACCGAAAAATTGGGATTTTCAAAAAAGTTGACAATTTTTTTTCGCCATTACATTATGTGTGTGAAAGCCAAAATTCAAGTCAATCCACCGAAAATCCTGGTAAGGGGACTATTTTGAAGATTTTATGCCTATGCAGCCATATGCCGTCAATTAAAAAAATTGAAACTATTTTTTCTAATTTTTTGAATATGAAAAATTGATACCAAAATCATCTGCATAATCGCGAAAACCCCCTGCAATTTTCCTCCCTTTAATCGAATTAAAAATTCATATCGTGGACTTTGAATGTACGAATTAAAATTACTGTTAACAAGGTTTTAATGTGAAACCTTAAATTTTTTTCATAAAGGAACTTCATTGTATGTGATAGTGCATTTTGTCAATAAAATGGTGTGTTGACATCAATGTATTCTCAAAGTTCCTTGAAATTATTGGTATCATAAAGAAATATCAGGAGACCTTTTTGTGGCCCACGAAATTCCCAACTTTGAAAGTCCTTCAACATATTCTCCTCCACTCCCTATTTTCCGAGGCATTCACTCCCTTTTGCCACTCCACTAATGAATCAATTTTTGAAGATGAAACACGATGATTATCAATAAAAAATAACTAAACGACGCTCGCGTAACAACCAAATTATTTACGTGATGTTCCAATGATATTAATTGTACACAGATGACAAAAATTCAAGTTCCTGTGAAGGTACAAATATTCCAAAAAATCCATGATAGAAATTTCTTCTTCATATCATTTTGCATTTCTCTCTTGCCGTTTTATATTATATATACAAACACAAAAAGAAATGCTCCGGAGAGCATTGACATGATCGTTAACCATGATTCTCGTTCTTCACGGGATCATCCTCTGGAACATTGATATCAGTCACCATTTCCTCATTCACATCATTGATTTGTGGTTTTTCTGTTGCCCCAGTCTTCGGTGAGATTATCGTGGGCATTTTCGGATCTGTAGTGTCCTCAGGGAGGTGTTCAGGATTAGGGTCACAATTTTCAACCCCTTCTTCCATTGGCTGAGGCGCTTCTGCGATCTGGGGTTGATTTGGGAGCTCATCCACTTGTTGCTGGGGTTTATTATTGTTTACTTGGAATTCTATTATTTCTAGTTCTTCCATCACTACTTTTTCCCTTCGTTCAACTTCCTCTGCAATTAAAAATTCGAATAATTGAATAATAGATAAAGATTGAGTTTTAGTTTAATGAAATCAGTCGGACAAAAAGTTTGTTGTTTCCACAACCAAGTTACTGATTTTCGAAGGCATTATACTGAGAATAAGGAACTGTTTGGATATTTTTAGGAGAAAAAATGCTTGAAATAGAGTCCAAATTGAGGAAAGTTTTCAAAAAAAAGTCAGTGGGTCTTTAAATTAAAAAGCTTTGCTTTCTTAAACTAAGAACATTCGAATGGGACACAATTCTGAAATAATTCAGCATGAGAGAATCACTTAATGCGTTATCTTTTTTTACCCCTTGACTATTGAATGAAAATGAAGTAAGACTTACAAATTGAATATACTAAATGAAATTAAGTTATTACGAACCGTGAAGTTCCTTAGCACATTCCACCAGTAACGCGTCAGTACGAGGATGCTTGCGTTTTGGTAAATAATAAATAGGTGGTTGTGCACGTGTGCGAATGAAATTGGCTAGAGGTAGCTGCGAAGAGCGCCACTCTTGGAATTGCTTGCTACGTGCCAACTTGGCCTCCAATGCTTTCACCTCAGCCAATTGACGTTTACGTGATAGAAACAGTTGTTGCCTCTCACGTCTCAATTCCTCTTTCTCACGTCGTTTGGCCTCCTCCACTCTCGCCTCAACTTCAGCCTTTTTGTCTTCCTGAAAACAATTTTCCGATAAATTTCCTCAATTAATTGAAATGTTATAGATTATTTTTGTAGATATTTCGTCAGCTAGATAGTTTAGGCTAAAATGCGGAGAAAGCTTTTCGTAGATCGTAAATTTCCTCGAACTGCATCAAATAAAGATTTGTTACACGGAACAAGAGTAAAGAAGAATTCATGTCACGATTATCACTGGAACTTGTAGGTTTAGAGATGAATTTTTTAAAGTCTCTTTACTAGATCAAAACATTTTTTGTACAAAAAAGGGCTTTCAACATTTACTTTTCGATTTCTTCCTTCATAAGATATTCTGAAGATAACTTAATAGTGAAAACATAGGATGAGTACAAGATACATTTCTCTATAAAAAGCTCCTTATTTTTCTCTCAGCATTTTCCCTTTGGAGATAATCTCAAGTGTTCTTCGCTTCCGATTGAAGTATTCAGTCAATAAATTTCCAATCCTAATGCATTATAATCATAAATGATCCGTGAATATTACCTTAGCCTTGAGTTTGGTCTCCTCCTGTCTGAATTTCTGTAAAGTCCCTAGAAGTGCTCCGAACATTCGTTTATTCCTCTGCCTACTCCTCTCATCGACATTTTCACGTCTAATGACATCCTGACGTGATGGAACTTCACGTGGCGTGGCAATAACACGAGATGATACAGCTGGCCTGACACTACCATCGTCATCATCTCCAGAATCATCAGGATTGGAGGGTACTCTTGCACTTAATCGACTGAACACGGTCTTGGGTTCATTATTCTGCCCTTGCCAACGACGCTTCCCACCTTGATCGTTACTCAGGTGATCCGTGTTCCTTTTACGATCCTCTTGGAGTGGACGCTTCTGTGCAATCCTGGAAAGCAATAAAAAATCGATGAATCCTGTCATTTCAATAAAACGATCAACAATTAATCACATCGAACATATGATTTTCTTCTACTTAGAATGATTATCGTTCTGGAAAAATTTTTCATCAGCTGTTGAAGAAATTCCATCAGAATATCTCTGAAGATATCTCGGATTTAGAAAAAAATATTGAAGGGTAAATTTCGTGGAGCACAAAATTCTCGACTTCAAAAGCCCATTCATAATTTCCTCCAAATCGTATCAATGCACAAAAATTGATTCGAAATTTTCATGAACATTACAAATTGAGAACAATTCTTTGAATTTATTATCTTTGTTGATAAATCAATCTTAGTTACATTGTTACGTAGAAAAATCATTTTTCTCCTATTTCACATCATTATTATTAATATATATCTCTTGACCATATGATGTGATTGGGATAAAGAAAATCGGGTCTGATTTTAACGGGAGTAATATCTGCGAAGTAAAAAAAATTGTAGTAACGATTAAAAATAACTCATTTCACCTCCCTCTATCCGACTTGAAAATTTTTAATAGCGTTTCCATATATCTTAAGTGAATATTTTTGCATGTATCTCTGAGAATAATAGCATCAGAGGAAAATATCAAACGATCGTTATTGTGAGATGGAATTTACAAATATAAAGTATTATTTTTATTAAATTTCAGACGATTACTACGACTTAGAAAGGAGATTCCGACTTTTTTTTGAGGTGTTGTGTTTAATATAGATCTATTCTTGCTTTAAATTATGATTTCTTTCATTTAAAACAATTATTGTCACCCAAGAGTAATCAATAGAACTCCAAATTCACAGATTCCAACAGTGAATGCATTAACTGGAGTACAAAATCAAATATGTAACTGGTGAAATTAAAATCAAAACAAGTGAATGGTAATATACATATTATAAAAATACAGTAAAGTAAATAATTTCAATAACAAATCAATCATAAATACAAAAATCAATTCCAATCATAATGTAATTATTAAATAAATTAACCGATCTTTTCAAGTGTGAGGTTAGGAAACTCTAAATAAATAAAAATAAGAAATGAGTCTAAGACGGTAACGAATAATTCTAAATGATTTTTGTGTTCAACTAGGAACAAACTGATGAACAAACCTGGAGGATAGTTGAGCAGGTGCATTTTCGCTGTCAGGAAGATCTCGACCAAGAATTTTTCTAATATCTTTATCCAAACACCTCAGGCCATCCCGGGCAGCCTCCAATTCAGCTTCAAGCCTCTCAGAGCCGTACTCCTTCGAGTCCAGACGTCTCATTCTGAGTATGGACACCTTATGTTCCTTATGATTCAATTCACTAATCGATTTTACTGCCTCGAAAATTGAATTCTGCACTCAACAAACGAGTAGTAATTGGTAGTAATGCCGGAATTATTGTGTTTGTCGGCGGCCATTTTGGGCTTGCAGTCAAGTTCGTCAAACTTCAGACATCAGGTGCGCGCGCAACGGTGGAAATTCTACTTTGTTCACGAACACGTGGCGGGAGGGGGCTGTTCGTACTTCCACAACTGTACATACACCTCCACGACTGTGAGGGAACAACTGTAGTACAGTACAGGGAACAACTGTAGTACAGTTGTTCCCTCACATTTTTCACCAAGTTTGTGAACAGTCGTGGAGGTGTATATACAGTTGTGGAAGTACGAACGCCCCCCCACCCCCAACATTGATGAATTCTAACCATTTGAAAATCGAACAATCAGCCCCTAGGAATTTCCCAGTCGGTCATATCGTACATTCTGACGTCTGAAGTTTGGCAAAGTTGACCCCAACCGCACGAACGGCGCCCCCCCCCCATCATAAGCCCGCGGAATTCACCCGATAAATTACCGACACTTTAGATATAATTTGGCTGAATTTGGCGGTAAAACTGCCACTTCATAACCAAGAAAACCAATAGAACTCGTGTCTCTTTGTGTCCCTTTCTGTTTTATTGAATAATATAAATTCAATTACTAATATAAATTCGTGCGATCACTTAGCATTAATGAACTTGAAGCTTTATGGAGCATTTGAGGCCGAAGAAGAGTATTAAGACTGGAATTTGGATAAATTATTCGATGAGTAAAAGCGATTTTTAATAGTAATAGCAATGGCATTGAGAAATACCGGTAAATACCGTCCTGAAAAGGCGAATACTTCGAAAACCAAGTTCGAACCGGGCTCTAATGTCCCCAGGTGAATAATTATTGGATGAATATCCGTGAAATTAATGTGAACCCGTGATCAACAAATTTATACGTTCGGTTTTCAGAGAGAACACGGCTGAGGGGAGGCTGATCCAGGCGAATGAGAATGTCAGAGCCGATCATTTATATGGGTTTGATCGAGTAACAGACAACAAAGAGAGAATTGGATACCTGATCAACATGCACGCTGTAATTATTTAATTAATTTATTAATTAATTGTGTCCGCCAATTATTTTTATTGAGTGGAGCAGGAATTTTTTGTTTATTATGTATTCATTTCGAGAAGAGAGCGTTCACTGAAAGAAAAACAAACATGTTCTCGAACAAGTCTTGTTTGGGCCAAAAAAGAATTTGTTTGATTCGAATTTGAATGTCTCAAACATGAATAATTGCTTTGCTTTCGGCAGCAACGAAATATTTGGCTCAGGAGGTGGATAATTCACACCAGACGGTGCCTTATCAGGATGAAAATATCACGTGAAGGCAAATTTATCAGGAAATATTTTTCATCACGCTGTGACGAAATTTTCGCCACATTGTGATGAAAAATACTGTTCGTAACTCGTGAAAAAATGTTTTTTAGCTCGTGGGATTATATCATTATCATTATATCATATCATTATCATTATATCATATCATATATATTAAACACTTTTTTGCACTCGTTACGAAATATACTATTGTCCCACGATTGCTATCATGTCATTATTGTTTCATTTGAGGATTCATTTCTTGTCTGTGATTATTAGATAGTCGAAAAGAAAAACTACTATCCCTTGTTTCGCATAAAACAAACATTTTTCGGGAGCAATATAGATATGGGAGTATCGACTAACGAAGGCGTAGTGCTAGAATAGTATATTTCGTAACGAGTGCAAAAAAGTGATTTTTGGCGAGTGGGAGGTTTATATCACGAGCCGAAGGCGAGTGATATAATCCCACGAGCTAAAAAACATTTTTTCATGAGTTACGAACAATATTTTTCATCACAATGTGGCGGAAATTCACTTTTCGCCACAGCGTGATGAAAATGACATTTCCCCCGTGTTCAGAGAATGTAATTTTTTTTAACTACTAAATCTATTTTTGCGTCAAAAATTTATCATCTCGGCGCACTATTCGCATGTTTGGCACAAAAAAAATCCTTTTTTGATTATTTTCAAAAAAGTATTTTCTTGACACAAGTAAGGCTTGTTTGAGAATTTTGTCGTTTTTCTCTCAGTGTTGAGGTAGTTGAGGACATTCTCTACACTGATAAAAGAATTTAGTTACTGTTAAGGGAACTTTTAACTATTAACACCATTCGTCAATAGTTGATGAACGGCATTAATGGTTAAGGACCAACTAAATTCTTCTTTTTTATCAGTGCACAAGAAAGTCTGCTGAAATTTTTCCGCAGGATGAACCATTCTCGAAATACTTATCTAAGTAAACCCTCTAATCTTCACGTGGGGTGAAGATTTTTTTCGATACTCCAGCATTGATAACAAATATTATTGGACGAATATTATTCTCCAAATCTTCAAATATCCTACTTCATTTTTTTATGTTTTCTACAAGAAAAACTCTATTGAAAAACTTGTTAAAAAAATCAGGTGAGCGACGGAGGGACAATGAAGGTGAATTTAGGAGCATTTCAATTGAAATACCATTTTTGTGGACGCGGAAATTCCTCTAGGAAAGTATCTTACAATATTTATAGTTGATCTTAGAATCAGTCAGTTAAGAGATAATACCCTGATGTTTAGCAACAACAATAAAAATGGGAAAATCAATCGTTAGAGAGAGCATAAATTTCTAGTTTTTAGTAAAAAATCTCTGAATTTGAGAAGTCTTGTACTAAAATCTAGAGTGTAAAAAGTCCTGGTAGCAAGTGAAATTTTCACTCAAGTTGAGTATAATTGTGCGTAAATATGGGCACATTTTCTATAATGAAAGAAAATGTCCAAAAAAGGACAGCTAGCAGGACTGAGTCGAGCACTGGGACATTCACCTTAAGATCCTTTCGAAGCACAATTTTTTTCATTTTTTTTGAGTCAGTACAAATATACTAAACTAAACATGGATATAAGACAGGGAATTTCTACACTATATATGGATATTTTCACAATTCATGCTTCTTTTCATTCGTCTGCATATCAAATGTGTGCGAATCAGTTTTCAGCCTAACGATTCTGAACGATTCTTAAGATTTTGAGTCTTTTCAGTCTCTTGCACCTTGAATCTCTCCGGAGGTTCATTCTTTTCCACTTTTGCAAGGCCTGTAACGAGTGCCAAACACTTTTATATTTTTGGTTACAAAACCCAGGATCTTTAAAATTTCTCCGCAGTCTCTCTATTGAGCCCCAGTAACTTTAAATAAGCCTAGTCAATTTCCTGAAGTTCTAAACCATTTCAAACTACTCGGTTCTTCAGGATGAGACGGAATCCAATGATCTCGGATCCTTCTGCGAAAAATTTATTTTACTCCATACGTTTGTAACAGACTGAAATCGTAGAAGAGGACAAACGTCTCATCAGTGGCGTGGACTATTATTTCCTCGAGGAAGACTGCACTCGCTTCAAAGTATCCCTTCCTTATCACCCATATTTCTACATAAAATGTCGAAAGGACACCGAGCAGGAAGTCTCCAACTTCCTCCTCAAAAAATATAACGGTGTCATCTCAAAAGTAGAGACAATAAAGAAAGAAGATCTCGACCTGCCCAATCACCTGTCAGGTCTACTTCAAAAGTACCTCAAGCTCTCCTTCGCGAATCTCATCGATATGCAGAAGGTACGTCAGGACATCAGACGCGCTGTGAAAACCAATTCAGAACGTGATAAAGGTAGTCATCATTTTTCAATACAATCAATTGTTTTTTTTTCAATTTCAAAAAATTCAAACCTTAAATTTGAATGATTACAATGCTTCCATTCGGAAGCAAAATGCTAATTCTAAAGTAAATTCATAATATTCCAAGGTTTTGTGTGATAAATTCACTAATCAAGAGCATCTAACTCGACAGGGCCTAATAACACAAGAGTACCTATTTGAGATTTCTTTTTGAAACAATGGTATCTCGAAATTATCAATAAGGCTAAAGTATCTCATGCACTGAGAAAAAAATTATTTATTCCAAATGTCCATTTGGAACAAGTCGCCAAGTCTGGCAACTATGATATTTGTGAATCAATTTCGGAAAAAATTGAGGAATGCTCGAGCGAGGTTTGAACTCGCGACCTTCAGATTACCGGTCTGGTGCTCTACCTACTGAGCTACCGGGAGTTCCGTCACTTTCCGTCGAATTTGATTCACTTTAACGTCGGATGACCCACCGCCGCCCTTCTAACGTCATTTTTCAAATTATTATTGATTTATTTCAATATTTTTCAATTGAACTGTGTTGCCAGATATTTTGGCGACAAGTCACCAAGTCTGGCAACTATGGGTCAATGAACCATCATGTCAAGACAACTCACCCCTCTCCTTTGCCCTCCTCAGGCCACAGTTACTACTCAGACCTCTGGGCGACTTCAGAGCACCTAGAAACCGATACCTCCACCAAAAAGAACATCATCGACCACATGGACAACATAATCGACATCCGCGAGTTCGACGTGCCTCATCACGTGCGCATAAGCATAGATCTCCAAATTTTCGTGGGTTGCTGGTACTCAGTGAAATCGAAGGGCACAGATCCCCCTCTAATAACCCGGAGGCCAGACATCCTCGAGACAATAGACCCCATCGTTCTCGCCTACGATATAGAAACCACAAAACTCCCCCTGAAATTTCCAGACGCCACTACAGACCAAATCATGATGATCTCCTACATGGTGGACGCCCAAGGCTACCTCATAATCAACCGAGAGATCATCTCCGAGGACATCGAGGACTTCGAGTACACCCCGAAACCCGAATTCGAGGGTATCTTCAAGGTCTTCAACGAGGCCAACGAGAAAGCCACAATTAGAAAGTTCTTCGATCACATCCTGGAGCTTCGTCCCCACATTTTTGTCTCCTACAACGGGGATTTTTTCGACTGGCCCTTCGTAGAAACCAGGGCATCGTTTCACGGAATGAATATGAAGGAGTCAATCGCCTTCTCCAGGAACCGAGACGATGTATACGCGAGTCGTCCATCGATCCACATGGACTGCCTCTCCTGGGTGAGAAGAGACTCCTACCTCCCTGTGGGCTCCCAAGGTCTCAAAGCAGTGACCAAAGCAAAATTACGATACGATCCTGTCGAGATAGAGCCCGAAGAGATGTGCAGACTGGCTGCTGAAGAACCCAAGACCCTCGCTAACTACTCAGTGTCCGATGCAGTGGCCACATACTACCTCTACCAGAAGTACGTTCATCCATTCATCTTTGCTCTCTGCACAATCATCCCCATGGAGCCTGATGAGGTCCTCCGAAAGGGCTCTGGAACCCTCTGCGAATCCTTGCTGATGGTTGAAGCTTACAAGGCCAACATCATCTTTCCCAATAAACAAGAGACCCAACTGAACAAACTAACGCCCGATGGACACCTGCTGGACTCTGAGACGTACGTTGGAGGTCACGTAGAGGCGTTAGAATCTGGGGTATTTCGAGCAGATATCCCTTGTCGGTTTAAAATCGTCCCGAATGCTGTGGATGACCTCATGAATTCTGTGGAGAAAGCCCTCAAACACGCCATCCAAGAAGAAGAGAAGGTTCCACTCGACTCAGTCATCAATTTCGACGAAGTTGCCGATGAGATTAAGGGAAAGCTCCAGACATTGAAAGACCAGCCATTGAGACTCGAGAAGCCAGTGATTTATCATTTGGATGTGGGTGCCATGTACCCCAACATCATCCTTACTAATCGATTACAGCCTAGCGCAATGGTGGACGAGGCAGCCTGTGCTGCATGTGATTTCAATAGGCCTGGGGCTATCTGCAAACGAAACATGCAGTGGATGTGGAGGGGGGAAGTTCTGTCAGCTTCCTTGGGGGAGTACCAGAGGATCCAGCAACAATTAGAGACCGAGAAGTTCCCACCGCTATTCCCTGGAGGCCCTCGTCGAGCCTTCCATCAATTATCTAAAGTGGATCAAGCAGCTTATGAGAAGAAACGACTCACTGAGTACTCCAGAAAAGCTTACAAGAAAGCTAAGATTACCAAAACTGATGAGAGGACTCAGACAATCTGTCAAAAAGAGAATTCTTTCTATGTAGATACTGTCAGAGCCTTTAGGGACCGGAGGTACGAGTACAAAGGTCTCACCAAGGTTGCTAAGGCACAGGTAGCAGAAGCAGTTGCCAAGAATGATGCAGGGGAGATCAAGTCAGCGAAGAATCGAGAGATTCTTTATGATTCGCTGCAGCTTGCTCACAAGTGCATTCTCAATTCTTTCTATGGATACGTCATGAGGAGGGGGTCGAGGTGGTTCAGCATGGAAATGGGGGGAATTGTCTGTTACACTGGTGCTCACATCATCATGAAGGCTAGGGAGATCATTGAACAGGTGGGAAGACCCCTGGAGCTCGATACTGATGGCATTTGGTGCATTCTCCCTGCCTCGTTTCCTGATAATTTCGTCATCCATACGACGCACCCCAAGAAGTCTAAGATCACTATTTCGTATCCCAATGCTGTATTGAACTTCATGGTGAAGGACGAGTTCACTAATAATCAGTATCATGAACTGGTTGATAAGGAGAGTGGGATGTATGAGGTACGACAGGAAAATTCCATATTCTTTGAGGTTGATGGACCTTATCTAGCTATGGTTCTCCCGGCTGCTAAGGAGGAGGGAAAGAAGCTAAAGAAACGATATGCTGTCTTCAATTTCGATGGATCATTAGCTGAATTGAAGGGATTTGAAGTTAAGAGGAGAGGAGAATTGCAGTTGATTAAGAACTTCCAGTCGTCAGTGTTCGAGTGTTTTCTGAAGGGAGGAACTTTAGAGGAGTGCTATCAAGCTGTTGCTGAGGTTGCTGACTACTGGTTGGATCTTCTGTACTCCAAAGGTGCTGATATACCAGACACTGAGCTGTTTGAACTCATTTCTGAGAACAAATCAATGTCGAAAAAGCTGGAGGATTACGGTGCTCAGAAATCGACGTCCATTTCCACTGCTAAACGTCTCGCTGAGTTCCTGGGAGATCAGATGGTGAAGGATGCAGGATTGGCTTGCAAATATATCATCTCGAAGAAGCCTCATGGGGCTCCAGTGACTGAACGAGCAATTCCTTTGGCTATTTTTCAATCAGAACCTAGTGTGTCGAAACATTATTTGAGGAAGTGGTTAAAAGAGCCTGGATTGCAAGACTTTGACATCAGGGAGATTCTCGATTGGGGGTATTATATCGAGCGGCTGGGCAGTACCATTCAGAAGATTATTACGATCCCAGCTGCGATGCAGGGAATTTCCAATCCTGTCCCCAGAGTCAAGCATCCTGACTGGCTTCATAAGAAGATTTTAGAGAAGAATGATGTCAAGAAGCAGAGGAAGATCACTGATCTGTTTAGTGTAGTCCAACCACCGATAGTCGATGATATTGGGGATATTGAGGATACAGGGAGTCAATCAGTCTTCAAGAAACCAGGTCCAGTGACCCACAAACGAAAGCGAGGGTCAGAGACTGATGAAGAGGAGATCAACAAAAGTTGGAGGGAGGTTTTAGGAGCGCCTCCACCTTTTGGCAAGACTAAAGAAGAGCGAAAGGCCTGGATGGAGTTCCACAAAAGAAAGTGGGAGTATCAAGCCAAGCAGAAAGGCCACCAGAAGAAAAAGCGATTGCGATCGATGCAGGAGCCGATGGACATTCCCAGAGGATTGATAAGGAATACCGAGACAACGACTCTCTCAGGGTTTTTGAGAAAAGCCCAACGAAAGCTCATAGACACTGCCTGGCATATTTTGCAGATTGTTGAAACCCACGAGCCAGGGCATTTTCGACTGTGGGCCCTAGTCTCTGGAGAGCTTCATCAGATTCGTTTGATCGTCCCGAGGATCTTCTATGTTAACACCAGAAAGGAGAGACAAGAGCCTGGTCCCAATGACCTTTGGCGAAAGTGCAATAAGATTCTCCCACGATCACGACCTGTTTACAACCTCTATCAATACACTGTTCCAGAGGACCTGTACCAAAAGCACAGTCAGAACCTGATGGAGAGTGTCACCAATCCTGAGAATGAAGGCATCTACGAGACACAGATGCCTTTGATATTTAGAGCGATTGTAAATCTGGGGTGCATCTGCTCGGTGGACCCCATAACATCAAAATCAGAGTCTGATACTTTCCATCTTCATCAGCTTCAGTTGGTCGCAAGTACCGACTCTTACCTGAGAGATCAGAATCTAAAGCACATATACCTCTATCACCACTGGTCAACCAATCGTCAGAGAGCCATGTGGGGGCTATTCCTAGGCCCCAGCAAACGAGTTCACATTTTCGTGCTAGACAGTGTCAGAACTAATCAGATGCCTTTCATGAGTTCGTTGTACAATTCCGAAAGGAAGAATGCAATGGAAGAACCGGAGGCCAATCAGTTCATGTCATCTATCCCCGAGGAGATGCAGTTTGATGTCAGAATGGAGACTAGTCAAGCTGGCATCAACAAGTACCTGCAAGCAGCCTTAAAGAACTATAAGGACGAGAAGAAAGGGGCTACCGTGTTGGCTATAAAATCTCCCATGGACTTGTCTGCTTTGCTATCAGAAATGCCAGGCATTGGAGACTTTCCAGTTGTCAACACTCATGTCCAAGACGTTGACAATCTCTTCAGTACTCTCGAGTGGCAGAAGGCAGGGGCTCTGAGCATGGTGAGACATTACCTCAAAGCCGAGCACATCCTGAGTCTTATGATCGATCAAGCCAGCTTCTTCAAGTCTCCAATTGGCAACATCCCAGCTGATGCGACCCTCTTCGCTGCTGATCTGTTCTATGCCAGGCATCTTCAGAAGCACAACTTCGTGCTCTGGTGCTCTCCAACGGAAAAACCCGACCTTGGAGGAAGTGAGAATGACGATAACAGATTGCTGACTGATTTCGAAGAAAGTGCAACCTGCACAACTAACAGGTCTGGAACTTATTCGAGTGTCTTGATCGAACTAGGAATCGAGAGTTTGGCCATTAATACTCTTCTGCAGGCACCTAAGGTCAACGATGTTGATGGGACAGCGTCATTTGTGGCTTTTCATACAGCTCCCAAGGCCAGTCTCCAGGAAATAGCGACTGAAGACAACACGATGACTGCTATTCCTAGCTATGACGAGGCAGTTTTATGCTCTGCCAGCTTCAAAATCCTCCGAATGATGGTGAATGGGTGGCTGAGGGCAATCTCCTTGCAGAAGAATGTTTTTGCTGATTACCAGGTGATTCACTTTTACAGGTGGTTGAGGACCCCCAACGCTCTCATGTACGACCCAGCACTCAGAAGGATTCTCCACAACTACATGAAAAAGTTGTTCCTCCAGTTGATCGCTGAGTTCAAACGACTGGGCTCCATCATCGTTTTCGCTAACTTCAATAAGATCATTATCTGCACGAAGAAGAGAACTGTGGAGGATGCCATGGGGTACGTGGAGTTTGTCGTCAAGACTATCAAGAACAAAGAGTTGTTTCACAGTATTGACATCACGTACGAGCAGTGCTGGGAGTATTCAATCTGGCTGGATGCAGCCAACTTCTGTGCAATCAAGGGGAAATTACCTGAGGAAGCGGAACAAGAAGTTGGAAGAGAGCTTGATGATGACGAAGATGACACACCTGAGATCATCATGAATTGGAATTTAGCTGAGATTCTGCCGACTGAGGGAGCCTGTGAGAGAAGCTTCAAGGCTATTGTGGCGGGATATGTCACAGCCATTTATGAATTCATGAGTGAGGTGGAGCCTGGGGGGTGCACACCTAGACCCAGGAAGAGGAGGAATAATTCTTTGAGCCAGACTATCAGTGCTCAGTTGGGGTTGGGAGCACTGGAGAATACAGCTGAGTTTGCTAAGAAGTTGGTTACTGGGGAGATGAGTCAGAAGCTTTTTCAGATTGTTCAGAAGATTCAGAAGAAGGTGCCTGAGAAGGTAATCACAATAGAGGAGCATCCCAATTTGGATCTGCAGGGGCATGACTCCATGAAAATCCAGCCTGCTTTGGAGTTTGTCAAGGCGATTTGCAAGGTTTTGGGGCTGGATAAGGAGCTTGAGGCTGAGGTTTACGAGCTGAAGACGAATTTGCTGAGGTTGATTGGAGTGGGAGGATTCAGTGAGGCCGCTGAGTGGAAGGATCCTTGCATATCTTTTGTCCTGCCTGAGATCATTTGTAAGGCTTGCAATCACACGAGGGATGTGGACCTCTGCAAGGACTCACATCATCGGTTTGATAAAGACGAGGTCAATGTTTGGTACTGCCCCATGTGCAAGACCGATTACGAGAATGAGGAGATTGAGTTCATGTTGATTGATACGCTTAACAGGAAGGCCATGGCCTTTGTTTTGCAAGATCTGGCGTGCAGAAAGTGTGGGGAAATCAAGAGGGATAATGTTATGAGCCATTGCAGTTGTGCTGGGGAGTACAAAACTACTGTGGGAAAGGCAGAGATGATTAATTGCGTGAAGATCTTGAGGGCTATTGGGAGGAAGTGCAGGATGACGCTGTTGGAGGATGCTATTGAGAATACAAGGCTTTGAAGCGCGGGTGGAGTAATGTGAGGTACTGTTTTTTAAAGAGTGGATTATTTTTCGAACGCGATCTTGGTTGTTTTTTTTATTTTGATAATATGAAACGATCTCCAATTGCGACTCAGTTTTACATAGCTTTGGAGTCTCCAAAAATCATGATTGTACAATCAAAAAAATGTTGAAAAAAAGCTGAATATTTTCAAAGAGCACTTTTGAATAATATTGGGAAATAAATCCAATCGGGAAAAAATGGCAAATTAATAATTTGATGTATCTAATGGCTGTCAAATCATTAGTTACCATGATAAATTATCCATTCACTATTTTCTCTCTATCGGTCCTACTTCTCAATCTTTATTAAAAACACTCTTTAAAAATGTTCAGTTTTCTTTCTACTTTTGTTTGATTGTACAATCATCATTTTTAAGGACTCCTGCGACATGTAAAATCCAATGGAAATTGTGATATATTTGACATTATGAAGATGGAAAAACAATCGAGATAAAGTTCAGAAGATAATCCACCCTGGCCTTAATGGAGAATTTGTATGAAAATTCTGCAAAACTGGTCTGAATTATGTAAAGGGGCGAAGGGGGAGGTGTTAAAAGTTGACAATTATTGCTATAAATTTTTAATGCAACGCAACGAAAATGCAAATGAATTTGTAGAATTTGCTCTATCCGGACGTGTATTGATTATTTTAATCCTGCGTCAAGAAGAAAAATTATATGAATTTTATTTATAATTTTTATTACCTTTCCCCAGCCACTTTGTAATAAATATTTATGGATTTAGTTATAAACATCTGCGTTTTTGGGCGAGAAAATCTTCCACAAAAAAAGTGTCTTGAATTTTGCTATTCATTGCAGAGATAATTGTAAAATGAATAGACGTTTTTTTTAATAATTTGAATCATTTTATCAGGTATTATTCATTGAATTATGTCGGTAATGAGGGATGTTGATTAAAAATGTCGAGAAAAATTCCTTGTGGAGAGAATTCCTTACGAAGCAGGTCTTGGAAGGTTTTCTCGTAGAATTGATTACAAATGGAATAATTTAATAATTAGAAATAAGATTTGTTATATCAATCTAAATCGTCCTGTTTTCTAAAATAAAGTTGATGGATGTTTTTGGAAAGAAGGTGTAAAACCATTGATTAACTTAACGTTTCTCTGTTATTTTCTTAGATTACAGGTAATATTTTCATGAATTTCATTTAATTTTTTGTATTTCTCTACTGATTTTGAATGGATTTCAATCGAGTTTACTTGGCTTTTGAACCTGATTCAATGTCGACATGTGGCTCTGAAACAAAAAAAAAATCAATAATTTTGATGGTTTTGTTTTGATTCTGGAGTTGTGAAATTCGCAGAGATCACAAGAGATGAGTTCACGAAATTTATAAAAATTCTTTGGTCAATGTTGCTAAAGCTTTTTTTGAAGATATTAGGAAAACGAATGAGAAAATTTGGATTGGACTGCTCTATCATTAGTCACTGTTTCACGTTATATGTTATGAATATTTAAGATTTACCATCGAATTTAAACGTTGGGAATTTTGTCATATCAACACCTGGACCACCACCATACTGCGTTGCAAGCCTTTCTAGCTCTGATTTCATTTCTCTCTGGGTTCCAGGGGTTGGGTCGACCATTTTTCCACCACTAGAATTAAATTTACAATTTTTAAAACACTTTGAAAAGGAATTTTTTTAGTTACAAAAATAAACGTTCAACATTTTTCCCTGGGGCCACTCATTTACGAGACATGTGCAATCCAAGTACGTAAAAAAAACAAAATCCAAAAAACTCGGGCTCGGATTGGGGCATTTTGTTTTTCTTCAAGTTCACATGTTTAAATTATACCTGCCGAATTCCACACGACCAATTGAAAAAATTGTACAATGTAACATACGGATTGCTGAATGTGTTATTGGATTGGTACATAAACGAGTGCAAAATGAAAGAATCACCTAAATGGGGGTATGATGTTGTTTTCATTTGAAAAATTATTTGAAGTAAAAACAACAAAACAAAGAATAATTAAATTAAGAAATAGTTAAATGCAGCCGAAACCCCTAATTTCTGGACGACTGGGCGATATTTTTTTAAAATAATTGATCACATGATTATACACGAGTAATATTATTGAAAGGTGAAATAATCAGTTAAATTTTCATGTTATTTACGGAATATTCAATGCAAGTTGAAATCGTCCGGAAATTGACCTGTTCACCCTACCTGAGAAAATTTCCCTCAACATTTTTCTCAATATCCACGAATGTGAGAGAATTAAAAAATTAATAGATTAAATAAGTCAAGTATGCAACATTTTGTAATTTGCGGATTTCGCCGTAAATGAGTGACTTGAAAAAATAATGTCAAGGATTTTTTTTGCAGCTAGGAAAATTTCCTATCAAACAAGTCTCTGCACATTTATAAATCCCAATAAACTAAACATTTTGTAAAAAAAATACTCTCTTGGTGTTAAAGTATGAGAGTGGGTTTAGAGGAAATATTGAGAGAAACATGGGAATAGAATACACTCACGAGCTTTTGGATTTGTACTCCCTGATTTTATCAAGGAAGAGCTGCTGGATGGGGTCTGATACTTTTTGCATGACCGGTGCCATTATCCCAATGTTGCGTTTGACTACCTTCGGGAGGCCACTGACAGCTCGTGGAGAAAGCATGATTGCTACAACACAAGTAATAAAAAATAATTAATACTCAATTCTCGTTATTTCAAACTATTTTTCGTGATTATATAATAAGAAATTCACTCGATTGTTGGGGGGTGAGGTTAAGTTCGATCAATACTGACTCTGAAACACTAGAGGATCACTTAAAAACTCGAGGAATTCATTACTAAAGTGATAATTCAATTCAATGTAATGGCAACTTGTCTCAGGCATTTTTTATTTGTTAGAAAATACATTTTTTATATTACCAAAATCCTAATTTTCAATCAGTTGTTTTTTTACGAACAATGGCTGACAAGTACTCCGTACTACTGTAGTCAATAACAACTCCAATGAGCTGTTTTCATAACAATTAATATAATTTCTTCATCGGAAACATTTTCAAATATATTAATTAAGAAATCTGTGATTTTTTATCTTTCTATTTTTGATCAAAATGTCTGCTAAAACATTATTCGGATATCTTTAGTCTACAGTAGTAGTTTCAAATATTCTTCGAACTTGCCTTCCACTCAAAGAAAGAGGGATAAAATCAACCAAAAGAATTCAATTTAATTGAAAAAGTGTTTATAACTAATTGTGTTGTGAATTATAGAGAAAAAAATGTAGAAATGCGAATAATCAAAAATAATGCATGAACATGAGGAAAATATAAAAAATTATAAATATTCTAGAGAACTTCAATTTCGAAATTTTTGTGAATTATCCACTTTACCAGCAAACGATGTCAGAAAGATGTGAGATCATGTTTTTGGAGTTTATTATAGAATTTATTATGTCGCAGAACATTTTTTCGTGGAGTCGATGACTGTTATGATATGTTTATTCATCAAGAATGGAAAAAATCATTTGTTAGAATTTACTCCAAAGAGAAAAACAAGTTTCTCTGTGTAGTTTATTTTCAAAAAATCACCCTAAAAATAGGCGAACAAGTTTTAATTCTCTATGGTATTTAATCGAATTTCAGTATAATTGTCCGTTACATTTTCACTTATTTTGAAGAGATCCTCGGTCCGGAATTTTTACGTTCTTGAACTCTGGAACTTGTGAATTTTTGAATGGAGAACGCACGGGCATTCTAAAATTAAACTATTTCAAAGCATATCATCTGATACCTGGACTCAATTAATGCTGAAAGAATCTTCGAATTTTATTGCTTTTGAATGCTGAAATGAGGAGGTTTTTGGTATTCAATTTTATTGATTTTTATTTTGAAATTAACCCTCTAAGGTGAAAGTCGGCCTGAGGACGGGCAGAAAGAACAATATTTCTCATCACGCTGTGCAAAAAATTGTATATTTTAGGGCAAGTGCTATGGGTTTTTTTTTTTTTAAACCGATGGCTTTAGCCGTGAACGATATTTTTTGTCATCTCGGCCGTAAGGCAGCGCTTTATGAACGCTACACGTTCGTAAATTGCTGCCTACGCCCGTTATGACAAAAAAAAACTTTTCTAGCTGACATGATTGCAACCCTCGCCTTCGGCTTGGACTGCAAACTCATATTTGCCAGAAAATTTTTTTTCATCACGCTGTGACGAAAAGTGAACTTTTCGGCACGCTCCGCGTGCCTAAAAGTCCAATTTCCGCCACATTGTGATGAAAAATATTGTTCGTAACTCGTGAAAAAATGTTTTTTAACTGGTGGGATTATAACCTCCCACTCGCCAAAAAACACTTTTTTGCACTCGTTACGAAATATACTATTTCAGCCTAATGACGAAACATACTATTTCCGTAGTGATTTTCACTTTTACGAGTTTGGAGAAGGGACAATACCAATCCCCGGACGAGGAAAAGTGAAGGTCAGTACGGAAAAGTTACTTTTTCACATAGCGTGATGAAATACTATATTTCGTAACGAGTGCAAAAAAGTATTTTCTGACTAATGTGGCTATCAGATGCGTCAAAATAGTATATTTCGTAACGGGTGCAAAAAAGTATTTTCTGACTAATGTGGCTATCAGATGCGTCAAAATAGTATATTCCGTAACGAGTGCAAAAAAGTGTTTTTTGGCGAGTGGGCGGTTTATATCACGAGTCGAAGGCGAGTGATATAATCCCACGAGCTAAAATAGTATATTTCGTAACGAGTGTAAAAAAGTGTTTTTTGGCGAGTGGGAGGTTTATCGATATAATCCCACGAGCTAAAAAACATTTTTTCACGAGTTCCGAACAATATTTTTCATCACAATGTGGCGGAAATTGGACTTTTAGGCACGCGGAGCGTGCCGAAAAATTCACTTTTCGTTACAGCGTGATGAAATAGTAGTTTTATCGCCGTGGTATATACTATATTAAGCGTCCTACGGATCGAAAACCGCGTTTATTGGTCCTGGGAACATAAAAAATTATGGAGCCCTCGTTATCCAAAGAAAATAATCAGCGTTTATGCAATGAATTAATTATTACTGGAATAGTAATCATAAAATTTTCAAACCCTCGTCTTGTACGACCGACGCAAACGATCCCCCACCACTCCTCCCCCAGCCAATACCACCTCATGCCGGCTCTGCTCAGCAACTTGGAGGGACAGAGCAGAAGAGCCCCGCTCCATTCCCTCGCCCCCGCTTGCAAGACAAACCCGCTCGTTTCATTCTCGTTTTAGTTTCATTCATGAACGTCGCGGCCACGACGCGAGGGCCCCAGCATCATACCACTCACCTCCCGTTTTTTATTTCTTTCTTTACAATTTATTTTCCTTAAACAATTCCCAAAGTGCATGTGTCAGTGAAAATAAATATAAAACGTAAACAAAAGAGAATAATAAAAACAGTGCAGTGTCGACTCTTCAATGAATTCAAGTGTTTCTAGTTATTAAAAATATCTCTCACGTGATACAATCATTTTCCTCGTTGATCGTTGGTGTTTAGAATAAATAAAATAAGAGACTGTTGGGAATTATCTTGTTGATTACGAGTGATACAACGTACGTTGGATCATTTCTCAGGGGAGAAGCACAGAGAGGAGCAGTGGAAAGGTATTACTTTTATAAACATTTGTTGATGGACTTTGTTATTCATTGAATCATTCAACCACTCAATTTTCTCTCTCTCTCTCTCGGGAATTATTTTTGATGATTCAGATACTCAATCTCGCGTGTACCCAAAGAGTCGATTTATCTATTTAAAATTCCTCTGCATCTCTAACAGGATAGAGCAAGCACTCCAATTGATTATTCATTGCTCAATCCATAAAATCGATAATTAATTTTTAATAGATAATCATTGATTATATCAAGTTTACGGTCACGTCTGGTCTCATTTTTCAGGGAAAAAATAATATTCTCCATTGCGTAATGATTATGTAGATAAAGTTATTCATTGTTATAAGACATTACTCACATCTAGGCTCGACTAGTCATAAATAATTGGGATTGAGGTATTGATTGAATAAATAAAGAGAAATCTGTTCGATGTGAATGGAGTTTTATCAATTGCGTCGAGACTCATGTAGATGACTTTGATTTTACGAATTTTTATTTCAATTCCGTTTTCATGCAGCTGAGATCGGCAGTCTATTTCTGTATATTTCTGTGTGTTTTTGACGTTCGCGTGTGATGGATCGAGTGAACGTCTTGCGAAGATCGTTCTAGCCCACTCGGTTCAATAATTATTGAATGAAGAACCGGGCGTTTGTTTCAATTTGTGTGCACCGCGCACCCCTCAATCTCGAGATTAAATGGAATTGATGGGGAGGATAATACGAATTATTTGGTTGTCGATCGTTTTTATAATTTTGGAAATTGATTTTTATGTGATGTGAGGATGGTTGGAGATTGCTGGAGCTGTATTGGGTGCAGTTTTTGTTGAGTTTTCTCGATCCTCTCGGCATGGCAACGCCGCGGGGCTCACGACGCCTCCCTCGGTTTTCTGTTGGTTTCAATCTTTGGGTCTCTCGCGTTGTCTCACTCTTTGGTGCCTCGGTAAGGACAGAGGATGAGAGTGAGAGAGAGAGGAGAGTGAGGGACCGGCACGACGAGACGAATGGAGCGGTGAAGGGATGAAAGGGACGCCTAGTATCCAAGAAAAGATCCATGGTTCTCTTTCTCATTTTTCGGTGGATTTTTTTTCTCTTATTTTTTGGAGGTCTCTTTGGGAACTGTCGCTGTCCTCGACTCTCTTCAAACGCATGACGAACAGCTTTTGTCCAGGGCTTGGTTAAACACTTTCCAATCATTTTTTTTTTCTTTCAATTTTTTTGGGGTTTTTGTTTTAACCGGGGGTTTTGCTAGGTTGAGATGAATGGAATACATAATTATTGGTTCTGGTAGTGGGGGTTAAATTTTTTTAGTTGTTAATTTTAAGTTCTTGACAACGAACGAATGAAACCAAAATTCATTTGTCGAGTTTTTTGTGGATTGTTTTGGAGGAAAGGGCTTCAGGGAATAGTGTCACTAGATATTTTCAGAGAGAATTTCATCGGCAACAAAAAAGTTCTTTTGAGATTTTTTTTTAAGTCTGATGGTTTCAGGGATATTTTGAAAATAGCATTACTGAAAATTTTAGGGAAAGTGATTGTAATTGGTTTCTAAGATCAAACTTTATTGTTGAAAGCCACTTTTTTTTGTGATTTTTATGGGCTACAGCAGAGTTCCTAGACATTTTCGTTTGAAGATATTTGCAAATTAACGTCAATTAGATTTCTTCTACTATTCAATAATTATTGAATAGTAGAAGAAATCTAATAATTCGTATTATCCTCCCCATCAATTCCATTTAATCTCGAGATTGAGGGGTGCGCTGTGCACACAAATTGAAACAAACGCCCGGTTCTTCATTCAATAATTATTGAATGAAGAATGAATGGAATACATAATTATTGGTTCTGGTAGTGGGGGTTTAATTTTTTTATGTTAATTTTAAGTTCTTGACAACGAACGAATGAAACCAAAATTCATTTGTCGAGTTTTCTGTGGATTGTTTTGGAGGAAAGGGCTTCAGGGAATAGTGTCACTAGATATTTTCAGAGAGAATTTCATCGGCAACAAAAAAGTTCTTTTGAGATTTTTTTTTAAGTCTGATGGTTTCAGGGATATTTTGAAAATAGCATTACTGAAAATTTTAGGGAAAGTGATTGTAATTGGTTTCTAAGATCAAACTTTATTGTTGAAAGCCATTTTTTTTGTGATTTTTATGGGCTACAGCAGAGTTCCTAGACATTTTCGTTTGAAGATATTTGCAAATTAACGTCAATTAGATTTCTTCTACTAAATTGGTAATGGAAGATTTCTTAAAATTTTTCTTGTTGTTTGAATAATGTCACCTATAGATATTAATAAAGATTAATTCATTTGACTTTTCGCTTCCTTATTCTTAAATGAATGATGTAGACAAAATGATAAAAGTGTTTGACTGAAAAAATATTTTCGTGAGGCTTACGAGACTGTATTCTACAACTAAAATTATTTTCAGAAACTAAATTTTTATGCGTTACAACAAAGCTCTCTTGATATTTTTTCTCGAACATCACGCGTGCCTGAAATATTTCTGGAATAACGCAAATTTATGAATTAAATTGGACATGAATATTTATTTTAGAATTAATTTTTCTGACAAACATTAGAAAAGAAATCACATTTGCTCCACAACTATCTTGCGTACAAATATTTAGAGAGATCAATTTACTAGATTTTATCCATCGAATGTTGCCGACAAAATGATAAAAATATTTGAGTAGAAAAAAATCAGCCTTCATAAGGGTATATGAGGGTTCTTCAACTGACGATGTAATTTAAAAGGTTCTTGAGAGGAGGATGGCATGACGCCCGCATCTGTACCCTACACGGTCCCCAGAAGAGGCCAAAGGCAATGTTCCACTCGAAATCTTGAAACTGTTACGGTCTTCAGTGCATCCTTCACGTTTCCGTTTTAAAATTGAAAGAGAAAATATTCATGACAAATTCTTGTGGAGTCTCCCGAGCATTTAAATTTTCGTTACACCTGACTGCTAGGAATATTAACTATCTTCATCCCTTCAAGCGAAGTGTCGAGTTCTGAATGCAGTAGTTTTCGTATTCCTGGAGTTTCGGTGGAACGGATGATAAGATCTCGGTTTAACGAAGGTCAGAACATCGAAAATATTATTTGGAATTACGTAAACAATTGTATGTACTGTTTCTCGTTTACCTGCATTGCGATGATTCGCTAACAAGATAATTCGAGTGATCTTCCCTTGATCGTAGTGTCCATGAGAGATTTTACGTGATGTAATTGAAAAACTTTTAATTAACAACAATTTGATGATTCGTTAATGATAATAATTCGAATTATCCTGGTTTTTATGCGATTTTCCTTTTATTATTGAAGGAAATTGAGAATGAAACGAACCATTTATTTTGCTCCAGTAATTTTCGAAGTGCTTTTTCTTTTTTTCTAATAAATTAACAATATGCTTTCGAACGGTTATTTTGCACATAATTGCCTTCTATCAGGTATAATTCACAGTATATTTAATTTGATTAAATTGAATGAGATTTCCTTTTACATAAGAATGTTATCAGCATCATTTTTTTTATTATCCCTTTTCTTACAACCAATTGTCTTTTTTACAGTTCTATCTCTCCCCTTAGCCCTTCGATAAAATGTTAATCGAAAAATTTTATTTACACATACTTGAATGAATTTGAAACATCACATTTGAAGAAACCATCAGAAAGCTCACTTTCAGGGAAATCCATGAAAAATTCCAAATTTTCAACAATCATCATAAAAATCAAATCAACCAATGTAGCTATCATAATCATCTTTTAACTTTGACTTAATGGCATTCAAACAAACATTTTGAGCTATGATTGAATTCATTTGAAGCATGATATTTAAAGATATCCCCGGAATTCTGATTATCAAACACAAAATTTTTCCAAATTCTCGAATAAATTAAAGTAACGATTATCGCTATCATCTTCATCGTCGAACTCGGTCAAAGGGACATCTAAACAAATTTTTTAAGCCACCATTCAATCAATTCATAACATTTTTTTAGTTATCGTGGAACGACCGATGTTCGAAAAAATTAAAAAAATTTAAAAACTAATCGATGAATTAAATATTAGTTAATGGTGATCGATAAGGCTCAACAATATCTACAATTGAAAAAAAAAGTTTCAAAAAAGTAGTTTCAAAAGTTTCAGTTGATTCCATCCATTCGTTAACGAACGATTGAAGAAAAACTTTACCACACACATACATACATGCATACATTCATGCGTACGGACACGGTCTAAAAGTTGCATTTTCGGACTTTTTGAAAAAATCCAAAACTTAAATTTGAACTATTACAATGCTTCCATGCTGAACCAAAAATTTAGGAAAAATCTGATGGTTTATTTTTGCACAGGCTAAAGTAGATCGTCTTATTTTGATTTCATGAGACATTTTGTGAAGTAGTTGTTGATTCATTCTCAATTGGTTCTCTTCAAGAGCAAGATTTTTCATTTTTTTTCCGTCAAATATTTTTTTAAAAGAAACTTCATAAAGTTATAGATTAGATATTGTACGAATTCCACAACACTCGATTTTTTAAAATTATCCGTTAGGAAAATATAATTGAGATTCGTCTTTTATAATTTTCATTTTGTAGCATACAAATTTCGTCACATCGTGAATGAATGAATGAAATAAATCAATAATACTTGTTGCACCATGAACGAGATGAGACAGGTGAGCAGTATCCGAGGGGTAGGATTCACCCCTCGATATAGTGAATGAAAAAAGGAAGTGGTTTTTATTATTATTTTTTCCCTCTCGAATGGCTGCCTTTGGAGTCATCCATCCGGACAGCCGAACAGATCAGATGTTTACTACCTGACCTACACTCAATCCTCGTGTTATGTATGGCTGTCTACCATCGCACCCTCTACTCCACAGGGGTTGACTTCTCCATTCCCCTCCTGTTTGCCTTCTCAAAAATCTTCTCCATTTCTTTTATTTTCTCTGCTTTCATGAACATCATTTTTCCTAAATCAGAATGATCGACATTTTGAGTCAGGATGTTTATCCGGAATAGTAAGCACTCAAGATTTTTTTTTCAACTGATAGACGAAGTTGTCTTTACGTTGATAAAAATTTTAATCCACCAACTCGAATTGATTATTCAGAATGATAGAAATATTTAAGGACATATTCGTAATTTTTAGCAATTGACCGATAATTTTTACAAGTCTGTCCCTAATATTTAGAGATTCAATTATATTGTTAACAATTTTTATCTGAATTTTCCGTGTCAAATCCCGGAAATATTTATCGTGTTTAATTTGCACGGAAATTTCAGAAAATCTTGACGTTGAAAAATCAAATATTCTATTGATTTTTTGTTCGAATGATGTGAAAATCGATAGAACACTTGATTTTTCAGTTCAATTATTTCGTAAAAATTTGTACAAATCAGGAAAATGTAAGAAACAATTGAAAATTCGTGTCATTTTATTTCTAAATACTCATGTTCCATTGAAAATTCATTCAAGTTGTGAAATTTACGTCTCACTCCCCCCTGAAAACTCATGAATTTCCTCGAATGCTACCGAAAACATGAAATTTCATGACCATTTTTCCTTTAAATCGGATTCAATGTCATTCTCACGAGAATTACTAGGATATTTTCCATGAAATTTCCAAAAATTTCTAAGAGTGTACTGAAATTGAGGGACAAAATTGCTCAAATTTATAATTATGTCACCGGGAGTGAGTGACAAAATCATTTGATCTTCGAATTTCTCACTCGTTTATTTTTAGAATTCCGCAGGTCCAAAAAACTAAAACTTTTTTCTGCTTTACAAAGCATGGAGTTAGACGGGGCTTAAAGTTTTAAATGTCCGCATCATTTTTCTGGGTAGGTACATCAGATTTTTCCTTGGCCACTGGGTGCAATTTTTTTTTGTTAATTGCCCTCCATTTTTATTTCTATTCTTGGCGTCTTCCAGTAGGTAAATTATCAATTGGAAGAAAAAACATAAGAGCTGGCGTATGATAACAAAGTGGTTTATTCTTTTTCTTTATTGGCTAGAAACCCCGATGGAAATGTGCCTTTTTCTGAAGAATTCGTTCATTTCATTTCGTCAAAGCAGCAGCACCTAATTTTCTTCAATCATTAGAAGAGATGGTCTCGAATGTTCCCCCATTATTCCAAAAAATTACTGAATTTTTGTCCGAACATGAAAAAGACAGATTTTTGAAAAGTGGATAAATGTCCTTAATCATGCTGTGTCATGATCTATGATCAGATTTAAATGATAATAATTTTTATAATTATCTGTTCTGGGAATCCCTCTGAGAAGCTCGATGATAATAGTAACAAAATGAATCGATGAAAAGTTGCGATTGCTGATGTGATGGGGGTGGGGGGGATTTACGTTTTATCTCGTGAGTATTTTCGGGGTCTGCGACGAGAGGCGTCTGTGTGGGTTTTTCCCCGAACTGTTAGAGCGAGTTTTTCCTCTCTCGTTGGTGGTTCAGTTGAACAAGCTGAGACGCAATGGGTAACGGGATTCTACACGCCCAGAAAACGGGAGTAATCGAGTGTTTGTCTTCGTGATTCTTAGAGGTGTAGAGGAAAGCGTCAATATTGTTGTGACAGGTAATATTGATAGGAGAGTGTGTGGTAAGACAGACCGGCTTCAATCGTTGATATTTCAAACGAAATGATATGATTTGGATGAATTCAATTTCATTTTGAGATTTAGGAAAATACCTTGAAAAATAACCCGTCGTTAGACCGGTGTGACGGGAAGGGAGATAGCGAATTTTGACTGAAAATTTGGGGCGGCGGCGGGGTCGGCAGGGGGGGGGGGTGTGAATGCACAATGAAAAAATTGAGTCGGTGAGTTTTTCAAAAATATCTCCTAAAATAAGGGAGAGCGTATAGAGACGAGAAAAATATATTTTGAAATATTGAGATAAATTATAAAGGCTTTTCTAACACTATTATTATGAGAGAGAATACACTCCCCGCGGGGAGAGAACGCACTCCCCGCGTGACCACTACAGCCACTGATCGTAATCCTATGTATTTTCCACAAAAAAAATATAGTCAATTAATTATTCATCAATATTTTCATCGATTAATCCCTGTACAAGTTAGATTTTTTCAATGATTTTTCGTAATTGATTATTCATCGATTCTTCATGCCTCTCGAGACCCACTGCAAATCTCAGGAGGTTGTGTCACACTATCCCATCCTCACACGGGTACACCTTTATTATTTTTTCTTTAATCACACGATGGGAGGAAATAGGTGTGCATGTGTATTGTGTACTATGTATCGAGTTTAAAGCCCATGAGAATAGCCGATGGCGATGGAACAGTGGATGCAAGAGGATTTTTTTTTATTTTTTTTATGCAGTTTGTATATGTATACCGAGGGCATCTTTTACACAGCCACCTACCATCTGTCGTACGGGTGGTGTCTGGGTAACCCGATCCTGTCTTGGCACATCATCCAAGGAGCCATGGGTGTCCTTAAAAATTCAACACTTTTGGTTATTCAATCTCGATCATGTGCGCTCTACAGATTTTGTAAATTATTTTCATTATAAATCTCTGACAATTTGGAAGAATTCATGTTTTTCTCAATCGGAGACTTTGATTATTCTGTTTTTTTTTGGAAGGATGAAATTCAGAGAATTTTTCGGAAAATAGACTTTGCACTATTACAAATTTTTAATTTAAAACAAAGGAAACCAATTCGACTGGGTGTTGGTCGCTCGCTCCCATTACGGGTCGAACCCAAACTTCCCGACCAATTCAGTAGCGAAGCGGTAAACCGGGTAGGTCGATTTTGAATATTGGCCAGTTTTTGACGAATATCTCGAAATCTAAAAGAGATAGAAAAATTTTTGTCATGACCTTTTTTGTAGAGCCAATTGAAAAGAAAAATTTTACTATCTCTCAGATTCCGAGATATTAATCAAAAACTGACCAAAAGTAAAAATCGACTTAACCCGGTTTTCCGCTTCACTACTGAATTTCCATTTTTTTTTTAATTAGAGAAAAAGCAAATTTTGAAACTTCCATCCGCATAACGAGAGAACGGCTGAGACGATTTCGCTCAGCCTTCAATTAAATCAAATCACATGTAGATCCATCCATCCTACGAAAAAAAAATCAAATCTCATCTTTATTCTCCGTAAAATTGTTGAATTTTTATAGACAATTCATTTTTTTTCACACGTTTCATCCGAAAAACTAATGAACCGCTCAGACGATCATCTTCATGAACTAATCAGTTCTAAGTTACACTATCACTCATCGATTGAAAAAAAAAATCAAATCGCATCATTACTCTAGAAGAAATGGTGGAATATGTGAAAAAAACATCATTTTTGACAGTTTGTAAATGTTTTTTTTTGTGGAGAATTATCTGAACTACACGGAAGGTTCCTTGCCCTTCTTTTCATAAATCTAGCAGATTCAGAGATACATGAGGTTTGGAAATCAGTAGTGAAGCGGTAAACCGAGTTAAGTCGATTTTGACTATTAGCCAGTTTTTGTTGAATATCTCGGAATCTAAGAGAGATAGCAAAATTTTTCTCATGACTTTTTTTATAACGCTTTATTAGCTCTACAAAAAAGGTTATGACAAAAATCTTCCTATCTCTTTTAGATTCCGAGATATTCGTCAAAAACTAGCCAATAGTAAAAAACGACTTAACCCGGTTTACCGCTTCGCTACTGAAATAGTTCTTGGATTTCAGTAAACGATAATTGTATTACGAGTATTCCAAAAACTAGTTGTTTCAGAGGAAGGTCAACAGTCATTTTTCATGGAGATTTTTCCAGCTCTCACAGTTTTGAACATTAGGGAAATGGGAATGAAGAATTCTGGAATGAATTGATAAAAGGCTCGACTTAATAATTATGAAAATATTACGGTCTATCAGGGAGTATGTACTCCAATATTTTCCAATGAATTTGCAAAAAGAGGAAATCCGCTTCAAACTCACGTCCCAATGCTTTCCAAATTTCCTAAAATTCATTCGTCTTTTTCATCAATTTTCATATTTTTTTATAAATATGGAATAATGACTGAAAATGTAGTTATACGTGGGACGGAAATATTCTGTCCATTCCCTGTGAAATCATGATCTTGAAAAATGGTGAGAGCGTGGGAGAGCCTTTTGGGCATCGGATTTCCAACTTTTGTTCCACATGTGTTGCGCTGATGTTGTCCAGTCACTCTTGACTCCTGTTGCAGGCTCCTATTTGTCCATAATTCGAGGAATTCCCTTGTTCATCCCTGAAAAATAAGAATGCCCACTTTCTTCGAATAAAAATGTTATTTATACAAAATTTTCGTTCTATTTCATCTTTCAGATAAAAAAAATGGACATCGAGTCCTCCCTGTATGACTACGAGGAGGAGGACCAGGATTTCTACGAAGAAAACGTGGCCAGGAAAGGCTACCCCATTGACCATCGTGCACTTAAGGTAAATAAAGAAAAAATAAATATGAGAAAATCAAATAGGAGAAAATTCTTACAAATAGAGAGATACGAAAGGTTGACGCTAAATGCAGAGGAGTTGTTTGTTATTTTTTTCTTAGATTTCATTTATTTGTATTGCTAATGGTGACCGCATGATGGCCTATAGCAGTTTATTAAGGAAATTTATATGAGCGGTTGAAAAATTTTCTCAAAATAGAGAGATAATTAAAGTCTCTAATTATATATTCAATATTTCCGAATTTGCGGCAATGAATTTCAACAAGAACTGTTGAATATGAGCATAATGTTAATCTTACTATATGAATTTTTTGAAATTGTCTATAATTTCATATTCGAAACGGACGTTTCATTAATTTTTGCCGATTTTTCAAAATTTTCGATATATTTTAATCTTCTCAATTGAAAATATTACTTTCACATAAGACTCTTCAGTTCTATGTTCAATCTGCACTTTTAAATTGATTATTATCAGTGATACTAGACTGTCGATTGAGCCCAAGTTTTACCAGAATATTTTCTGTTATGTTACCTTTCACTGAAAATTTATTTTAGATTCTAGTCTTTAAGAATGGAGGTGTGTTTATACTGCTTTAAGGCCATTTTTTATAGATATTCCATAGAAATGAAAATTTTTTTATGTTGGAAATCATTCTTTTAAATTCGTCATTAGTCGGATTGATTTATCCTTTTTTATCACTTTACTGTGTTTAGGATTTTTGGTTTTAAATACATTGAGCTATTCCGTTGTCATCTTTAGTGAGTATTTCAAAATGGATTGTGTCCTCGAGATAAGTGTCTTTGACCTCTGTTGTCCCTGTGACGAATTCAATCATAAACAATATGTATCGAGAAAGAAACACGAGTGAGGGGTGCTAATTGAATGAAAGCATATCAAATGAATAGAATTCAATGCATCATCCCAATCTTCAATACTGTAGAAGGTTACAGGGGCAACATTTCTTATAAACCATTGATTGTGTAGTAAATAGATGATTTCGAGAGGTCCAATGGAATCATTTTGTAAATATCTATGAAACTAGTGAGTTTAGGAGATAATGTGGAAGCAAAAAACTGGCTTCTATCAAAACTTTTTAAATTCCTTCACCTCAAAGATGTTTCCAGGATTATCTGTGAATGAATTATTAAATTGTTAAGAAGGAATTATTAAATTCCACCTGACAACTCCATAAATCTCAAAATCTCTGATTATTTCCTCTATCACCTTTCCGAACAATAAAATTCTGGACCTCTATATGAGGGAAATAATTGAATAATTATCAATGCACAAATTAAAAAATTCGGAGGCACACGGGCTCGAACACAAGCTCGTTATACATTTATGCCTTAAAAACATCTAAGGTTGACCGAATAGAATAGCCCAAGGGATAATATAGATAAGAATATTCTCGTTCATGAATTGATGATTTTGCCTGTTCTGAAATTAATCTAATCATGTTTATGAATTATTCGTCGAAGGTTCTTAGTTGATAAATACAACGGTTCTTGATTCAACAACTTTCTTCACTTGAAATAAATAGGTGTTTGATGCTGAATTTTAGGGATTTTTCTTCTCAAATTCCATAATCAGTTTTTCATTGTCAGTGAAATGCCTTCTAGAACCATAAGTTTCTCAAAATTAGTAGGGCGAATGTCCTAGTATCTGACTGTTCCAGTGGTCAAACTTTTTTGAAAATTCAAGGTATTTCATGAGACTTGCAATTTATTCGTTCGTATGAAATTTTGGCAGTTCATTAAAAGGAACAAATTGAAATGCTCAAGGCGCATTTTTTTTCACCGTCAAAAGTTATGATTTTCCGTTTGTACATTCAGCTACTGGGCCTGAGCATTTAATTATGTACTGGGACATCCACCTTAAATTGATTCTGGCAGCTAGAATTTTTTTTCCTCCATGGATTCTCGGCCCACAAGGGAAAAAATCTTCCCTACCTATTCCCCCCCTCTCATTACAGCTTCTTGGAACATCTCCAACCTTCAATAAGAAAAAAAATATCGCCGACAAGATTATTTATAAACCAACTCTCCATTGATCCAACGGCTTGCAAACAAAGTCATTGTTGCCTCTAGTCATGCTCAATTGGCGCACATGTATAATTAAATTATTATTTATGACTGAAGATAATTAACGCGAGAGTATTCTTAAAGGAAGAAAATGCAGAAATGAGTCCAACCAATTCAGTTACCGAGTGCCCGAGAAACACGAGAGGTGGATTGATAAATTGAATGATACAAGTTTCATTAAAGTTTCGAGTTTAATTCAGACAGTTATTCGTTGGGAAGCGCTGAGCATTCATGAATGAACGTAAACTGTCTCTGTTACGGTCGAGGGGAAAGGGTTGTTTCTTTCGCGCTTGGAGCTGCTCACCATGCCGCGGTGTGCGCAACGATGCCGAGAACCATCGAGTGAATATAACGAACGAACAAACACCCACTTACAAACGTTCCTCCTTCGGTGGGGTTATAGAGTCTGTTGTAACGCACTTATACGATAGTTGAGTTACTACTGGATAATTCATATGCATTTTGAAATTCTTGCGGTATTTCTTTACGAATATCCACGTTCTTTGATCATTTTTTTCGATAAAATCTTTCTAAACATTTTAATTGCAGCTGAATGATATGATTGTTTGAAGTCTTCGGCGATAAAACTTTTTTCTCATTTCGACTCGATAGAATACATTTGAAAGATCGGAAATACGTGTGCAAAGAAATGAATAATTTTCTTTGGAGGTAATCGATGCAGTCAGTTTCAAACCTAGAAATAAATTCTTAGTAATAAAGAATCCGGAATTATATCAAGGAGATCATCGAGATATGCGGCAGCGCGTCGGCCAAGAAAATTTTGACTCCCAACTGTGTGAAATCTGACCACGCACTACCAAGTATCTATGCACAAAGTAACTTCCCTCTACACTACCATCGAATCATATTCATTGAATGAATGGAAACTCATTAATAAATGAAAACGCGATAAGCCACGAGAAAAATGCTCTTAATGCACATGAATCGGCCACAAGCTTATCATTGATGTAGCTATTTTTTTCTTTTAATGAATATTAAAAAAGATATGCTTGATATGTGTTACAAGTGCGTAAAGAACCACTTTTTCACACGCACGCGTAACACATCCTATTTTTTGTAATACCTGACGAGTTCACTGTTCGGAGCCGTAGTGGGGGTAAAGTGGTTGTTTTTGTGTACGGTGTGCGTAAAACAACCACTTTACACACACTAAACGGTTTCGAAAAGTGAACTTTTGAGGCAGATATTACGTGGGTGTTGTGGGCTGTAGTGAGCGTTCCGTTCAGGAGATTGATAGAATCAGTCAAAAACAAATAGGAAGTTGACTCAAAACCCAATGGGGTTTTCAGCTAAACACGTAGTTACAGCAATAATGACACCGGATTGGTCAAAAATGTAACGACTGCGCCATTTTTCAAACGGTGGCATATAAATGAATCTAAACTGTAACTACAAAGTCAGCTGTTGTAAACGAAAAGTGAATCCCATAAACAAAAAGTCATTTTTTTCAAGCACGTGGTTCAAAAAAGATTATTTTGCTCATTTTGAGTATAGTAATTATTCCTAATAAATTAGCAATTTCCTTCCGCATGGGCTCTCTTTTTGAAATTCCCATTTCACTATTCGCTTCGTCTATTTTTTCATATTGTAGTCCCATCGTCAATTTTCCATAATATTTCGTTCTGTCAAATAATTCTACATTCAGACCCTCTCAAGACTCGAATTCGGTTTCAGTCCGGGTTTCATCAGGGTTTATTCAGGATTTAGCCAGAGTTTAAGTTGCGCTTCGCGCAGCCTGCTCAAAACTCGACTTCTGCACGACTTGACATAAAATATTATAGAGCACTCGGTAATAAATTTCGTTTTCAACAAATGTGTGTATAGACCTCGCCTTCGGCTCGGCCTGTAAACTACACATTCGTTGAAAACAAAATTTGTGCCCTTGTACTCTAATGTACTATTAATAGGCTGTCTGGGATTTTGCATAAAAGTTTTGAAAAAATCAAACAATGTATTAAAAAAATGACTTAAGGTTATTTGACCCATATGGTCACTTCGTTCGTCCCTCCCATTTGACCCTGAATTCCGTTTAATCACCCTTAATTCCTTATAATCACTTTTTTCCCGTTGAAATATGATCAAGGCCATAGGTATCTTATAAGAAGGCGATCGAAGTTCCGTGGGTGGGGATAGGCCTAGCGCTCGGAGCTCTTGGTATCTTATATAAAGCCTCGACAGTAGGTTGTACGAGAGTATAATCGTTAACTAAAGTTCGTGAATAGACTGAAGTTGCAATCCATATAGAATAGGGGAGGATGGGGCAAAACGGTCCCCCTTCAATCGTCAATATTTTCCGATTCAATAATCCGATTGGGATGAGTTAGAGCTCGTTTTGAAGAATGAAAAATTATCTTCAAAATGAAGTTGAAACTGGGAATTTTCACAATGTCATTCACAAGTTATTGACAATTGATGGGGGGCCGTTTTGCCCCACCCTCCCCTACATAAGATGCAAGTTGAGGCTGTTCACGAACTTCAGTTGACGACTGTACATGATTTTTCGTAAACAAGATTCCTCAACAGTTTGGAACTTCTACTGAATTTTTTAAAATATCAAATCTACACAATCCACATTTTTTTATGTTCGGCCTTATTTTTGGCACCACAGAGGAACAGCCTTATTTCTCTTTTTTCATCCCAAGAAGGGATTTCTATCTAAATTCTACTTCACGTCACACACGCGAGTCGAATATTTTAATCCACAAAATGAAATACGAAATGGACAAAAAGGAATGAGATGTGAAGTAGGTGGTGAGTCTCGGTAGCAGGCGAAATATAATGCATATGAAAAATGTGAAAGAAAGACCTGGGGATGTGGATAGGTGTGAGTCTGTGCGGTTGATCCGGGTGTTAAGAAAGACGAGAAGAAGGGGCGATGGCTAT